CGTCTAAGTATTCAATTACTCACAATTTTATTGTCAACTAATAATTCGGAATATTCCAGAAGCCCGCCAATTTTGCACAGATAATAAAAAGCTCGTAAATTCCAATAACCATAAGCAATTCGTTGATGTGTTGGCTATACAGCCTATACGGCATTATGCATTAAAGGCAAAATTGAGGCAATCCATTAGGCAGTGGATACATTTATCAATAATAACAACTGGGGCATCAGGTCACAGCTTTGTTTGTTGTATGCCTAATTGTCTCGACGCCGGGTATCGAACCGGTGAACTGGGACACTTACATAACACAGGTAATTCATATGTAATAGCATTTTTTAAAGAAAATTTTGTTATGGAGGGAAAAGTTTAGCCTTGAGCTAGTTGGTTAATTTTATTAAAAAATTTTGAAAAACAGAGTAATAGAAGAACTGTTTTCCTGCTGTCTTAAACATAAATATATAATCATTAATTTAGGATACCTTTCGGTAGTCAAGTTATACAATAGTCTTATAGTCTCTTGCTAGAAATATCTGTGATGTACGTAAATATGTAATGTTATTTAAAATAATTTTAGTCTACATCTTTGTAGAAAGACTAGTCTACACCTTTCAAGCAATAATGTCAATCAATCAATAAAAAAAATAACAAATAAATCGGATACCATTTTAGTCTGTGTATTCCTAATGTTCATATACAAAAACTATGTTACCAAGACAACTATTTCAAAGAAAACGATTCGCAAAAAAGTAGCTGACGAATAATATTGGCTAAATTCAATTAATTAACGAAGGAAAGGTTTTAAATGTCACGGTGAGTCAGTCAAGGGTAAAAAAAAATTAACAAGCAGTATAATGTAAGACTGTGTTCGATGAATTTACTAGAAAAAACATCAGTTTAAGTTAATTAATACAAATCAAAACCAAAATAAAATCAAAGTCGAGACCTTTTTTATGGAATAGTCTTGTAAACGAACAGACGGATCAGGATCACCTGATAGTAAGCAATCCGCACCACGTATGAACTCCTGAAACACCAGAGGCATAACAAGTGCGTTGCCGGCCTTTTGAGGGCTAGGAATTTGAAGATTGTTGAAGAATCGGGGATTGAGGAGGATACTTGAGCCTCCAGTAACCTCACTCACACGACAAAACACAACGCAAGCTTTGTTTCACGTAGGTTTTTTGTGAAGCCGTGGTATCACTCCAGCAGCTGTAGCCAAATGCCATTTAGCGCTTGTCTACATGTAGAATAGAAAACCAAATTATATGGAATTGACGTAAATTTTGACACTTGACTGTCATCCCCGTACATTTAGTTTTCTACTCTCTCTGTAGACAATCGCTAAAGTGGCGTTTGGCTAAAGGTATGGTGGTTGGTAAGGTGAGCAGCCATTTGTGCCGAAGCGTGGCTCTCCTACACTTAGAAACCTAGTAGAAAAATAAAAATCAGGTATCTTTCGTTTTGATTCCTCATAAATAAGTAACAGATAAACTTTATGATAAGAACGTTACTGAAAATATATTTTTTTTCTTTTGACAAAATGGTCACCTACCTAACAGGAAAAATAATTTTAAATCTAAATCCCTTAGTTATAATATCTAGGAACGTCACTATAAGCAACCGGGTCTGTGTAAACGTGAGAAGATATCAAGGGAATGCGGTACAGCAAGTTATTACAAGTACTATATAACTGTTAGAGCTATACTGAATGCGACGTACTAATGTACCGCACCCAAGACTGCATGCCAAGACGATGGGACTTTAGTATCTTGGTTCCTTATTATTTCTTGAAGATAAACCTAGTTAGTTATCCACGCCAGTGAATGCAAGTAGCGAGTTGTCGTTCGACGTGGAGGAAATAGGGGCAGGCCTTTGTCCAGCAGTGTCAGACGTCTTTCGGCTGCTGATAATGATGATGATGATGATGAAACCTAGTTACAAGTAATATAGGAACATGGTTAGAGATATGGAGACTGAGGAAAATATGAACGGAGATAAGAGTACCTGATTCGTAAGCAAAAAACCTACTTCTTACGTTTTTGTTGTATTTAATTGCTACTTATCCTTACCATTTTTTGATGAATGGATATGGATTTTAAAAACACAATGATTAAATGACAATCGTATTAGATGCTACAGCTCAAAATTGTAAGCCCCTGTCGTTGCCTAAAACTAATCGAAAACCTTTGAGTCAGTTATGTAGGCAAATCACATTAAGTACTTCAATCTAGACTTTACTAAAAAGTAAATAAAGAACCTATTGGCTTGTCATACAGAAAACATGTAGGTAGGTGAATCGATTTTAAAAAGGTGACCTGATGACTTGGCCTGTATAATTATGATAACATAGAGACGTTTGAGCTCTGTGCAGACAGACGATGCAATTATGTATCTGATGTAAACATAGCATTGTTCTTCTTTACATAACACTACACACTACATAATATGTGACATATAGTAATATTTTTAGTGTATACCATTTGTTATAATACACTTTGTAGAATCATTATAACACTCTTGAACTAAATATTATATGCTATTGTATATTGTGGTACCAACCTAATGAAACGTGTTTTTTTAAGGGGGAAAGTCATCGAATGACTTCTCCCACCTGGGTGAGGCGAGGCGGGAGGGAGTGTCAGACTCTTACTGACTAAAAACCACCCTGTTCCTACTCCTGCACTTAAATGACCGACTGCATGATTGGTGCCGTGGCTGGGCCACCAGCTGCAACGCAACATGTAGTGGGTTCGATTCCCGCACGGTAACTCTTTGTGTGATCCACAAATTGTATGTTAATAACTCACCCACACATGATACAGGAGAAGATCCTGTCGCGGAGAACCTAACGGGTTACTGGGGCTTCGGCTCGACGTGCAGGAGAAGGAACGGCGTGGTTTTTAGTCAATAACAGTCTGACACTCCCTCCCGCCTCACTCAGGCGAGAGCAGTCATTCGAGGATTTATCCCCCCATAAAAAAAAGTGTGTGGCAACGTTTTAAAAAAAATACTCAATGATTAACTTTTATTTTGGTTCTAAATTAGCCTATATACCTTAACATATTTTGGTCAAAAGATACTCAATGCTTTTACGCAACTCGAACGGGACTCTTTACGCTAAAATCCTTTATATCAACCAATAACAATACAACACGACTTATTTCAATACACACACGTTTTTACACACTGATGTCTGTTCCAAGCTTTATGTGCCTACATCTGATGCTCATGACAGAAGCTATACAAGCTAATAATATTTATCAGTAATAATATTTTCTGACGTCATCAAGTACTTGAGATCAAATCAAGTACAGACACAGCTCATCAAAGTACACTAAACTATCAAATGATGAAATTTCGACCTTAATGTAACACGATAAAGTTCTAAATGTATTAAAGGAGTGTCATTCGTTTCTTAATGTATAGTTAAAGCAGAATAAACCGAAACATTTGTATTCTGTGGTTCCAGTCACTGGATGTAATAATAATCGTCACCGTCGAGGTCAAGGTTCGCATCCCGACTAGCGCAAGCGTTCGGCGAACTCTTAGATATGCCACAGACTAAAATAATAAAGAAAAAGGGTCAAATTATAACTACCATTAAGTAGTAAAGGGTGATCAAGCTCAATAGTCTGCTGTTGGAAATATCTATCCAACTATATATCCAACAGTGGATGGAAACGATTATAATGCGATGGTAATGACAAAGGGAGAGTGTTGATTAAGTAATTTCTGTGACAAATATTAAAAGAAGATATTGCTATCGATCGACAGATATAATACACACTTTTAACTCAACTTAAGTTTGGTTCAAGTTAGTAGTCTAAATAAACATTGTGCTTGGCTTATTTAACTTATTTGTGGACTTAGAGCACTCTAAGTATAGGTACTATTAACTTAACGCGTCTCCAATGACATCATCAAGTTTAGAATCAATTGGCAGTTCAAGGATGAAGGATAATGAAAATAGGAATCTTCCTATATTATTGTGATATAATTTACCAATATAGATTTAAAACTGTATTTCCTTATTTTAATACACACAGTATTGATGAGAACGAATAATTAAATGTCTCTAATAGGAATATAAATAGGTATTGTCACGTTTATTTTAAGAACAAATTGATATTTAGGTATGTCATAATTAGGCATTATTTATACGTATTATTATAGGTGATACAGTAAGTTTTCGTTGTTAATGACATGGTATATTGATAAACTTACAATATCATTTTATAATTAAAATGACCACAGAATAATAAGAACACAAAATAATCACTCACAAAAATAAAGGTATTTGTAAATATTTTAGTTTTTAGTTATTTGTATTTATAATATTAAAATTTCTTAGTTTAAATTTAGCAAAATAAACAATTTATTTATACAGCCGCCAAAACAAAATTGCCAACTAATTATTAGGTCTGTACGAATTTAATCAGTCACATGACATTTCTTACATTAGCCCTCTGCAAATCTTATTATTTTACTCTGTGGTCCTACTTAAAAAAAAAGCGTCCGTTGTTGATTCATGAACGCTGGCCGTTATTGGTGTGTTTATTTTTACGAGAGCGTCACAAGTTAACGATTTTTTGAAAGAATAACCTCATTTATGGTAATGGTTTAATCATATTATGGGTAGCTCAGGAAACTATGTCTACGGTTTTATTATTATTGGTATTTAAAAGTGTTTATCTGATTTGTTACATTTTTCGTCGAAATAAGTATTTAGGGCGATATTCTGATTAATAATTTTATCGATTCGTCAATTTTATTGAGAATGTTATCAGTTTATCAGTACAAAAATATGAGTAATATGATTTTATCGTGTTTATATATTGTGGCCTACTTAGTTTTAAGTTGCTAAATTCCTAAATTCAGTTACCGGTATCCAGAAATTATAGAAGCTAAATTACAACTAAGTTATTAGACAATATGCCTAATTCAACTTTCAGACTATTCAAGTAATGATGTAAAGATAATACTTTCATAAGTGCACTTACTTGCATCTGCAAGAGTCTGGAACCACCGTTCTTCTCCATTTTAAATTTCGGCGGCACACAAATATAACAAATATCAAGTAAACTGGAAGACAACGAAAATTTTAACAGTTCGACGTGTCAACAAATTGAATAGATGTAAAAAAATATAAAAATATACTACACGCGATTTTTGTTCATTATCAAACACCATTCACAAAATTTGACACAAAAATGACAATATTATTTATTTATTTTCTAGACGTCAACGATTACATTACCGCGCAATTTAATTTTAGAATGCGTTTATGGTTCAACTTATTTTTTTATTAGCCGGCGCGTTCTCAATTGCAAGAATTTTTTAATATATTCGTAGTACCGATCAAACGAGTCAGCGGTCGCCAAGCGACTCAGCTGTTGTGAAGCACCGAGGCAAATTAGCAAGAGATCGCGGGGACGGGGAGCGAACAGCCTGCATGACTACTCGCTGAGTAATCGACTGGCTGCACCTACACGCCCTGTGAACCGACAACATTACGTTTGCCGCTATGATAACTTATTCAAACTTTTTTCATAATACAATAAAGAATAATTTCCTTTGACACCGATAGTACTTAGTTTGGTAATAGTTTGTATTCGGCCACCAATAGACAAAATATTATGTTCGTTCGAGGCAAAGGAAAATGTTTTTTATTGCTTGCTGGTAAAAGTTTTGCTGATGTTTTTGTTATGGCTTAGTTAAACGGCATAAACATTGAAGAAATTCGCGAGCCCGCAGCCAAAATCAGTGAAAGCGTTATCATAAGTTACGGGGGCGTTAACCTGGAGGTAGTGTCGGAGCACCTAATTATGGGGGATAGTTAAACATAAAATGCCAGCTTCATTGCATCGCCATGCACTTTATGCAACAAAACTGGTTAATGAAATCGGCCATCTGTTGCATAAATTATTGATTTAACAACATGATATGCTTATGATATCGTATTTATTATTTTAAGATTGTTTATTTGGTATGCTTCGTTCTATTTTTTTTATTAGACTTCTGTCTAGAAATAAGTTTGTTACCTATATTATTCCTATGTTTTGCTTTTTTATTCAAATCTAAAGTCACCTCTCCTACCAGTGTAATTTAGTGTTTGTGTAAAAAATAATGCGTTTGTTTGGATAACCACGGTAATTAACAACCGTCACTATTACACAATTATTAAAATAACTTTAGCTAGAAAGTGTACAGATTTTAAATTTACATTTGCAGCAATAAATGGCACCGCACACTTGCTTCACGCTAATCCTGTAAATAAAGACTGCCGGATACGAAGATATGATCTCCTTACTCGTCTCAGTTCGCCCATTTCAAAGAACCAGATATGGTTTTAATTTTTTTCTTCATTTATATGAATACTCGCTTTTACTTTAGCCTTTTTTGGCGTATGTAGAAGTGTGAATGGTCTACATTTTATAAATTGATATGCAAATGACTTAAAAGCAGCTTTTAAAGTCTTTTATTTATGTGAAAAGTGATGGCTTTGATAAGAAAATTATACTTTCTTAACAGGTGTCACGTTTGGTCCAAACTTTTTATAAATGACCAAGCCATTAAGTAATCATTTATCAAAAGCATTGAGCTGATAAAATTGTTTTTATTTCATTCTGTAGTTCAATGCTCTCTCTTTTTATAAACATTACTAAAGTTTACCGCTTTGATTGTTAAAACTATCGAAGATATCTTAGATTTTAGTAAGCCTTTTGAATTTTTGATTCAGTAAAGTTGCAAATGGAATATATGGATGTATTATTATGTAACATAATCTACTTGTTGCAGTCGGGATACTAAATATTGACATTTTCGCGGAATCTTAAATAAGTACTAAAACATATTTCTTATCTATCAAAGACTTGCAACTGTATGGGTGTTACCCAGGGACGCATTCTGTCACCAACACTATTTAAACTAGGAAATAAAACACAGAAGTAACCTTTTGGTATTTTATTAAAAAAATTACATACAAACATTCATAATCTGTGATTGAATGTCACTATCATACAGTTCATACAACACACGACGTCGATCTAACTACGCACGCGCTATAGTTATTTGTCCATTTCGTAGCGATACACCTCTATCCTCTACTGTGTTAAGGTTTTTGGTAACATCATTGGTATCATCTGAAGAACAAACTTTTGCTTTAAAATGAGAACAGGCTTTTGTCTATCTGAATTAGTTGTTGCAATACAGATGACAAACCTTTACTTAATAGTAATCAACTTCAATATTTCTTGTATATTGTTGTCTATAATAGATTTCAATTGGTAGACAGATTGCATCCTTAAGCACATTATGTTAAGGATTTGAATAGTATTTTTATCTTAGAAAGATTAAATTCAATCGAACAATGTTCATTGCACTTGCATAAAAGGAATGTTAAATTGATGAAAATAGTTGTACTGTAGGATAATACCAATGATGTTGTAAACAATATTGTTTATAGATTGTCCGCACAAATATTAATAATGAAACAAAAGAAAATAACGTGAAAATTATGAGGAAAATTTACTTTCTTTGCTACCGATATTATGTAAAAGTTTATTTTTTCTTAATCTCTTTACCTATGGTCTTATTCTAAGGTATACTTTGATCTTTCTCAGAATCGTAGAAGTCCATTGTAAAGTATTAACGATTTTCGTTTTGCTATCCATCCATGTTACTACTTACACTCCCAAAATTCTTCGTATCTCTTTTCAGTTCTTTCAAATTGACTTGCAAGCACATCTCTCGAGTTAAACATCTCAAAATTTCTCATAATTATCACGGGTTCATAATCTAAGACACATTGGAGACACCAGAAATAAATACCACATCAGAGTGTTATTTGTGCAGACAATTTTTACAAAATAATATAAAAACTCGAACAAGCGCGTCGAAATAAATAAAATTTATTATAACTATAAAAATACAGTAAACACGAATAAATCGAACACATTGAGAGGGTTTTCACATCGAAACCAAACATACAAGCTTCTCATACAAAAATATCTCATATTACCTAGACGTTTGAATCAACGCCTTATTGCTGTCTAATAACGATTAATTTTACAAATAATTGTGTATAAGTATCTATTATTAAAGAAATAAAAAAAAAATTAAGATGTGTTTTTGGTTTGTGTGAATCATACGTTTTTGTGTGCAAGGAATATGTGAATTGATTTTTCAAAGATGGTTTTGGTATCGTCAAAGACCCCTCAATTATTAATATTAGGTCAGGCTCAAAAACCTAAAGTGTACGAAACGCTTTACGTATCAGCAAAGCGTTGTAGTCACAGTTTAAAATAGCTGGGTCTTTGATAATTGTCTAAACATAAGGATACCGGTATAATTATGTTGGATTTACCTTTACGGCATACAATAAACGCTCCTTTATGACACACAATACATTAATTTAATTGGAAATTCACTTAGGAGTTCCGTCCATATTGGCACAATAAACAAGAAAATGGCACGACACTTAAAAACTTCCTCCACTAAAAATGATCTAACATCAAAAAAAAAATGTAAATTGCGGTAAATATTAATTTATCTTATAAACGTCTAATAATTATTATTCTAATTTATATTCGTATAATACAATAATTTGGCTACGACATCTATAGCTACATTGCAAGACCATAAATTATTTTGAAATATTTCCCGCCATGCGCCATCTTGTAGCTAGCTGTCAAACTGTCAAAACTTTGTTTGATTTGTCATAGATTAATACGCAGTGGCAGTGCACCAGCGTAAACACAGATAGGACAAACAATTAATTGCCTAACTGTGTATTTTACCTACCATTGAAATGGATCATTATTCTCTTTTGCTTTGACACGCTACCATCTCAAGGTTATAATTTGAGATAACAATGTAACATACAGACGAAGAAATATTTCAAAATAACAGAAACTAGCTGCACCCAGCAAACTTCGTATCGCCTACATTTTTGTCTCACCTTTTAAACCTTCCCCGGATTTCTACGAACATTCCAATATCAAAATTAGCCAAATGGATTCAGCCGTTCTCGAGTTTTAGCGAGACTAACGAACGGAAATACATTTTTATTTATAAGACAATTTTTGGTAGTTGTTACTGCCCATCATATAATTAATAGTATACGTACTTTCAAGAGTTTTATTTGAATCTTGCAATGTAGCGTTCGCGGGGCGAGGGACATTAAATCGCGTTTACCATGCCTAGGGTTACACACAACACAGGTATTAGGTAAATAACGTTAGGCAGTCTTTGGGTAGGTCGGAAGATTTTATAGCGACTAGATATTTTCTTTAAATAATTGTACTAAATACCACACACCTAACTATACCGACAATATACCAAAAACGTTGATTTCGAATAAAAGGGATTCTTTAATAAGTGATGGTAATATTAAAAAGACCTCCACGTTATATTTCGTTCAGTTAGGGTATGTTTCTACCGACCACATTTACTAATACTAACATCAACTTACTTCTAAAGTATTTTATTTACGAATCCAATGAGTATATACTTTTTCAATTCGTAATTGGTGTTATCAGGGGACAAGCATCGAATATATTTATCCTATGTGTTAAATAATTTATCATTCTCAAGTAACTCTCATTTTGTGCGACATTCGGTATTCAGTGAACATGAAAAAGTTTTCAATAAAGCAGAATAAACGTGTACCCTGATCTGTGTAATCACATAAAACCTTCGAAAACTTCTGTCGTTCATTTACCAAAATTTAAAAAGGTTTTATCTCGAAATTTGAATTATTTTTAACATCATTAATAATACGTCAAAATGCATTTTATGTATACGAAAACGTGGATATGAGAAAACAATCAACGTTACAGTTTATCAAAGATCAAGATAATACAGTATCAAACATTTCATAAATAATATTTTACTTAAATAAATATCGCTCTGAGAGGTCGAGACTGTGCTAAACCTACATTGAACATCCTAGGCTTTATCAATAGGCCAAACTTCAAGAATTCGAAAATCTATAGAATTTCATGGCTACACACATCTTTTTCTATGACAACATGCAGTATCTCTATAGAGCACATCTATTTAATGCATACTTAGGAAATTGGATGCTTAATCAGTATTGTGGTATCGACTCACGACATGAAACATTATTTAGTATGTCGTTACTCGCCTGGAAATAGACAGTAATATAATATGTATTATTTTACAATAATATCATTGTACGTACTGTGTCCGAGACGGCAGCCGATGAGAGAAGTATCACTTCTATCAAATAATCTTTGATTAAGCATCGACAATTATTTTTGTTTTTCGACAAATTTTTAAAGAATCGTCAAAGACAATTTGAAATTCGGAAAGAATAAATAAATAAATAAAATATTTTTTTTAAATTCATAAGATGTTTAGAGAATTTCATTCAATTTATGAACTTTTCGATTGGCACATACTTTTTTTGTGACCCGCACATTTTGTAAATATACATAAATATTAAGTTTAACACAAAATATATTTGGCATTTTATTATTTCGAAATAATGTTGAACATTTTACAAATTTAAAGTATTTAGGTATAGCTTTACTTAATCGGACACTCTTTAAAAAAATAACACGATGTAGTAATTTTCTTGGTTAGATAAATAATTTGTCTAAATCTAACCAAAAGAGTTTTGTGTCCTTTGGATTTATGATGGTCTAGGAAAAAACGCGCAATTTTACTCAAAGTAAGCTTATGATTTCACGTTTAGCAACAAAGTCATGCTGTAGTTAAAGTATGTTAAAGTAATGTATCATTCGGTACAAATAGGTACGAACTATCATAATCATCAAGAAATGAAAGGCTTCTTTTTTCGAAAATGGCGCGTTTTTCCATAGATAAAGATGGTTTTCTTGTTGGAAGTTTTACATCATGAAGTCTCCACAGTCGACTCCGAAGTCCCAATCATCGGAGGTGCCGGTGTCATCATACTCTGCTAAGGCCTGCTCATAGACAGACGCCTCGTATGCTGTGACTCCATCCAGCATGGAACAGGCTTGGGAGACGTTGGTGTGATGCATGATCGGCATCGCGTGAAGAGCAAAGTCCTCGCCTTCTTGAGACCAGGTCAAACCTGAAAATGAAGGGACGTATTGTTAGTTTTTCATCAGGTAAAATGAATAGTAAAATTTAAAACAAATCATTTAGTTCGATATATTTTTAGAGTCTGCTACACCTAATTTTGTAAAAAAGTTATTTACATAATATTTTGCGTTTCTAGTAGGTAGGTACCTACAATGGATTAGGCAGTGTTAAAAAATGTAATATGGGAAATATGAATAGTGTTCATGTTTTGTTTTAAATATTATGCTTATAGACCAAATTATAATTTTAAAAAAATCTAATGGTCAGTTTGAAATAAGTATCAGATAAAATAATATCAATACTTACGTCCACTCCAAACTCCGTTAGGCAAGGTAACCCATCCCCAGCCTTGTCCCCAAGCGAGCTGATGGTCGAGTTGTCCAGCTAAAGGCACCTGGCGCTTGATGACGGCTACCAGCCCACGCCCGTCCAGAGCTCCCACAGCACTGCGAGCGTTCCTCGTGTACATCTCTGATGATGTGGCTGCTGGAACCGACAAGGGTAGGATCTATAGGTTATGAATTGATCAATGTGTTTTTGTTTTAGTTAATTTATCTTTAGACTGCCTAGTTGGCCGAGTGGTCGCAAATGGTCTCGGGCAAGGGGTCTCGAGTTCGATTTGGGAAAAGTATTATGTACTGGGTTTTAAAAAAATTATCAGTAGTAGCACGGAGTCTGGAATTGTGTCCGGTATATGGCAATAGGCTTACATAGAACTCAACATAAATAGTAAAGAGGGTGTTACATTGTATATGCAGACAGTGGCTTAACAATTATGTTATGTCATGTTGCGTTATGTGTAATTTATCTTTTTCACATTAAGTGTGCAAATGTAACGTGTAGCACAAGCGAAAGGTCATAATAATTTTGACTCCTTTGAAAAAGCATCTAAAATTAGGCAGTAAGCTCTCTCTTTTACCCGGAGCTGCGGACAACTTAACGGGTTAGCGGGGCTTTGGTACAAAGCAGGAGTAGGAACGGGGTGGATTTCAGTCAGTAAGAGTCTGATACTCCCTGTCGCCTCAACCAAGACTGGAAATGTCATTAGATGTTTTCCCCCTGAAAACATTTATTATTCTTTTGGTACTGCTCTAGTTATCAATCACTAATGAGCAAATCGATTCTCAAATCATTCCTGTGCCTTTAGCCATCCGCCAATTTAGCGCTTGTCTACACAGAGAGTAGAAATCAAAATGTATGGGGATGACACTGACAAGTGTCAAAATTTACGTCAATTCCAATATGGTTTTCTATTCTACATGTATCGGTTGCCAAAGAAGAAAAAAAAATATTCTACATGTTGACAAGCGCTAAATGGCATTTGGCTACAGCTGCTGTTTACCTATAATCCGTTTCAGGAATAAATTTTCAATTTTCATACAAGACTGCGTCAACGTAAAGGAAGACGGGTCATAAAATCAGGACTGTTTGCAATCAACTTAAGCGCTACCAATTCTTGTGTCATAAATTTCCTCGTGAATCAGCAGGAATGGAACACGTAATCCTAGTCGCCATGAAAGCTGTAATCTTCCATTAGTAGCAATAACAATTTAATTGACATTTTAACTGGTTCATCACAATGTTTTACGAGATGAACACTTTATTGGCGATGAGAGACTCTCTATCTACTTAAAATCCGAATACGTACTAGAAGGTTTTTTGCTCAAGTTTAACCAAAATATTACTATCAATAATAATAAGTCTACTCCACCCGCAGGGCACCTTGAGGCGAGGTGACGGGCATTAGCGACCCCGCGGGCTACTATCATCCCGAGTGCTCCAGTGAGAAGTCACCGTTCTTTATTCTAAAACTAGCTTTTACCCGCGGCTTCGCTCGCGTCACAAAAGGATAAAAAGTAGCCTATGTGACATGTACCAATACATACAGCGCCATCTATACCAATACTTTTGTATTCCCCCGGGAATATCAAATTATTCCGGGATGTAAAGTACTCTATTATTTAATCCAGACATTTAAATTTACGTCTGCAAAAATTCAAAGCAGTCGGTTTAGTAGTTACGGCGTGAAATCGGAACAAACAAACAAACTCACTTTCCGATTTATAATATTAGTAAGGAAGTAAGGATAAGGATAGTAAGGATAAGGATACATGTGAATATAGGGATAGCCGCCGGTTTGTGTGTCCATTACATTTATAATAAAGTTGACTAAAGGGCCTCTGCGCAGTTGGCTTTGGCCCCTCGTACGCCTCCCGAATGACCGGGATCCTGTGGACCCTGTGCTCCCGAATGTTCCCTTATGTTACGTAAAATACTAAGTTTCAGGGAAATATTTCACCGCTTTTACCTCCTAATTTATCCTAAAACAGTACCAATGATTATTGTTAGAACGCCAGGCAAAAACTATTAGCAATCGTTGTTGTAATACATTACATTGCTATTCCCCTCGTAAAGGAACTGTCGAGTCAACAGTGGTGCCGATATTAATCGCGTAACACTTGACTTAATTAATGAAGTGGCTTGTTGGCTGTAGTTTTGGCGGGAACACTGACAGCGCGCGTGGCGGCCATGATGGATTGTCTATGGTATTGCGTGTTAAGTCTATGCTACCTACGCTTCAATGTACCGGCTGTTGAAACGAAGTTTTCTTGCGAATATACACAGCAATACATACACGTTGATTTAGTTAGCAAATGAGACCAATAGAAACACAAAGTACAGAATAGTAAAAAAAAAGGTCAAAATAGTTCTTTTATAATTTAGCTCAATGTTGGGTCTATACACCCATACATATGGGAATATGGGACTTATAAGAAAAGCGGGTCTTACAGTATACGTGTTCATATCTGTTACTAAAAGCCTAGATATAATTTTCAGCACTAATTTAATCGATTTATCCTTGAACAAATAATTCCAAACTCCTAAGTACGAATAAATCGGCAGCAGCTGCTACTTAACCACGATCTAGTACATAGCTCTCTCATTATTAATACAAGTGCTTTAAAGTATATAGTATAGCGAAAATAGAAGTGTCAACAGGTCATTAACCCCTTGACTTTGACACGTACGAGGCTCCAAGCTCCAACTAATGTTTTCAGTAGCCTAATGTTGAAAGATTTAAACTTAATGAGGCTGTTCACGTTTTAAAATGTGTCAGACATGCTTTTTAGATTTTTACTTTGAAGGCAATTGTAGTGTCAGCCTGTGTTAGGTATAAATGAGTATGAAGGAGGGTGTAAAAGTTAATTTTGCGAAAAACTTCACTGAAAGAGTATCATGAGGACGAAAGAGCGAGTCAGAGAGTTTCGATCAAGATTTGGCATAGTGTCATCATCATCATAGCAGCCATAGGACGTCCACTGCTGAACATAGGCCTCCGCCAGATAGACAGGTTGGAAGCAATCTGCATTCAGCGGCTCCCTGCAACCTTAGGCAGGTCGTCTGTCCACCTTGCGGATAGACATACTACGCTGCGCTTGCCGGTACGTGGCCTCCACTCGAGAACCCTTCTGCTCCAGCGGGCGACGGTTCTCCGCGCTATGTGCCCTGCTCACTGCCATTTCACCTTGCCATTACGCTGGACTAGGTCAGCGACCTGTGTTCGTGTGCGGAGCGTTGGCATAGTGGGCACCGTAGGAATCGTCTGTGGAAAAGGAAGCGTGGCTGTCGTCGTCAAACCTGGCGTCGCTCTATAATGGCAAAAGCGGCGAGCAGTGGAATGACGTGGAGCATAATGAAGTGAGAAGCATAAAATCGATCGAGATGGAGAACTTCTGTGGACGCCCTCTATTTAGGGAGCCTTAAGTCAAATAAGTCAAGTCCAGTAAGAAGACAGAAGTAACTCACGGAGAGCTATGCTTAAAGACTTTAGGAGCCACTATGACAGACTTGACTATCAGTAATAAAGATATTATGAAGAAGGAAAGTACAGTAATAAAGACTCACATGCAAAGTGTAACCTATTGAAGTGGATGAATAGAAAATGTGATGTCATTTTATTTAAATACAAATATTAAAACATGTAGTTTACATTTTTATTGTATGTATACTGCATAACACGGAATATAATATACATAAGATTCAACATAAATAATTTTATATAATACTTTTTATGCTAGGAAACGATAGTTTTTAGATAAATGCATCTTAAAACTATCTTATATTAGTCTTTTATGGATTCGACACCTTAACATTTTAACAATAAGGGGGTTTCACTGAGTAATTATTATGTTTTTCGTCGTATTCACGTTACGATGATGACAGGGTATAAAAATTAAAAATCTAATTAGTTCGTCAGTAAGGCAATGAAAAAATATTAGACACCTTTTTTATTTTGTCGTATAAAAACAATACTTAGATATAACGGACCAATGTTTAAGAGTGGGAGCAAAAACGTCATTTCTACGTATAAAACGTACGTAGAAGTGACGTCACGCTACATTTCATATAAATATATCGTCGAAAGTAAGGAAATAAAAAATACATGTCTAATGTTTTAAAATAATCTACCAGACTGACATTAAAATAAAAAAAAATAGGCATCTACCCTATTATTAGACGAGGAATTCGACTAGTACGGATTGCTATCATAAATATGAGCCTCTAGCATGGCTTGAATGAAACTAGTCGAGTTCCTCGTCAAATAATTACGTAAGTTAGTCGAAAAACATAATAATTATGTCTCACGAAGGTTCGTTTCGTACAAACAAAACTGAATTTTATTTTCAAAGACAATCTTCGACACGAAACCGATGACCTTTGGCCATTAAAAATACTTTCGACTCAGTTTTTTAAATAAAAACAAAAAATACTTACGCGGGTGTTAAATTCGACCCTCATGGCTCGAAGGCTCGTGTTAGCAAAGTTGTAATGCGTTATCCTTGTCGCCTGTGGCTAAACAATGCCTCAGTACGTACATGTACAAGGAAAATGCGATATTTAAGCCGAACAAAAGTCACAAATAAACAGAAAAAAAGAACATTTAAAACCTTTTACGAGAACCTTTTTTTGTAAGCGAAACTGGTAGAAATTGGTTGTGAAAAATTATAAAATGTTGATTGGATTTATGGTAAGTGTAAAATTACACAGATTGATGATAGATCTGGCGTCATTAATAAATTATAGGTAGGTCATAATCATCATCATCAACAGCCAATAAATGCCCACTGCTGAGCAAAGCCTCTTCTCACACGGAGAAGGTTTAGCATTAATTCCCACGCTTGCTCAATGCGGGTCGTTGATTTCAAACTTATAATTAGAAATTATAAGCCCAGGTTTCCTCAGGATGTTTTTCCTTCACCGTTTGTTAGTGGTGTCTGAATAATCTTAGAAAGTACATATAACTCGGAAAAAGTCATATTGATACGTTTGCAGTTGGTTTCGAATTTCTCTCTCCCAATTCTCATGCATGAGAAGTGGGCGTCTTAGACCTTCGGGCCACCACGACACAGCATTATAGGTAGGTACGTAAATTAAAAGGGGCATTATCAGTTTACAAATATTTCTGATTTTTACATAATATTTAA